ATGAATTGGCGCTATACAAATAAAAATTGAATTGAATTGAATTGAATTGAATACATGTCATGCCTAGAATTAACACTTATTACAGGAATTATTTTTAAGAAATGCCAATTTCAGAGTATTATGAAGTTCATCTGTTTGTTAGTTTGACTTGAGGGGTTGTTCAGGAAAGACGCGGGCACAAGGATCACTCTTTCCCATCAAGGCTCACTGGTTGCGCCTGACAAAACAACAGCTGAGGCTGATGAAGTATGCCTACAGCTGACTCTAATGGATGTTGAGCAAGCCTGACAGAGTACAGCTTAGACTGATTATAGTATACAACTCTGACCACATTGTGTTGATTCTGAAAAACTGAGCCTATAATGTACTGAAATAATTATCATACTTTAACACTCGAATAGTACTGGTATAGACTGGAAAATAACCTCCCTGGCTGGAAGATTTGGCAGCGGACTCTCAAGTAGGGCCGACCATCACAAAGAAATGTGGGAAACACTCCTGATGTATTAGTGAGCACACATTCTGCGATGACAGTCTCAACTGGAAGATCTTGTGTCAAAGATTAAAATATCTTTATTTTTTACTCAAAAACATCCGTCACGACTGGTTGGCTGACTGAAACCTTTAAAAACAACACAGCTGCTGTGTGTGTGTGTGAGTGAGTGAATGAGAGAAAGAGAAAGAGAGAGAGAGAGAGAGAGAGAGAGAGAGAGAGAGAGAGAAAGCGTAAGTATGTATTGTGTGTGTCCAGTCTGGCTTTGTTAGCCATGCTATGTTTGGGTTTTCATCTCACACAGTCAGCTGTGTGTCTCCTGCAGTATGACCTGACTCTCCCTCACTCACTTTCACTACGGAAGCACCACACAGTGTGTGTCATTCTGCAGCGCGTTTCCATGCACACCAACACTGCACTTCCTGCTGGTCATCAGCTTCAAGGCAACAGGTCAAGTTAAAGCTATGATCTGGAACATTTCCTCATTAAACTGTCTATAAACTCTAGAGCTATGTTCTATATGTAGTTAAGGTGTGTACTTACATTATCCCAAATGTTTCCAACAATGCTCAAACTCAGAGAAATCTGTCTGACTTTTATTTGTAACTCTTTATCAGGTGTTTTTATTTTTTTAATCATCAGTCTTTTGTTTTTTAGAAAATGAGACCTCCTTGTTTATAACTTTGTGTTTTTTTTTTGCTTCCAGTATAAACCTCCCTAACCATGAACACTGATGGAATCCTAACCGGGAGAAGCTGACTGCAATGACTGCAATGGTGGTGAAGACAACAACTCCCATTATCCCACGCTACTTCACAACATCATCAAACTTGTCTTTTGTTATTATTTGATGTCAGAGACCCCCTAGTGGAAGAAATGTAATAGGATTTTATTCAAAACCTTCACTTACAAATTGTCTCCACAATTTAACTTGATTCTAATTTCTGTATCAGTTGTTGTAGCACTAATTATCATTTCCCATGTAAGCACAATGATTGTAACTGCAGTCAAACTACTGTAGTTACAGTAGTGTGTATCCTACTCTACAGAAGTTAACTGCACATTCTCTGCACCTGTTGGAAGCTATCCATTAGTACTAAGGACATAATATTACATCACAGTGAATTATATTAATTCCAACACTTACGAGTTATGGCACGTCAGCACCTTTCAGCATTTTTACTTACCCAACCAACACGGTTCCTATCAGTGCTTTCATTTTAAAGCCGCAGGAAGTAATTGGTTTTCATTCAGGTCCGGTGGATTCTTGCTAATACAATTAGGAGCACTAGGAGGAGCCAGAGGAACCTGAATTTATCACACATAATCTGTCATAATCAATTTTACAAAAAAAAAAAACATACTGCAGCTCCATCTGTTTTACTTCAACTGACACTTAAACTTCATTGAATATTGAGACTTCCAATTCTATTCAACACTTCCACCTTTAATGACCACTTCAACATCTTTCAGTATTTCAAATCAGATGCAACTTCAAATCTGCATCTTTTCTTTTAGGAGCATCAACTTCAGGTAGTACTTCCAAACAACATTTTAAAACATCTAAAGAAGTCCAGGTGTACCATTTAGGAGGCTCTATTGGCAGAAATGTAATATATTAAATTTAATATAATTTGCAGGCTACATACTGGGAGCACTGGTTCATTCCATATTACCCACGTGTTATAAACACAATACCCAAGACAAAAAACATCAGAAAAGGTCTGCAAAATGTTAACCTTTCCTCACAGTTTCAACACTTGCAGTTGGTGGTCTGGAAACATGTGAATGTGTGTGTGTGTGTGTGTGTGTGTGTGTGTGTGTGATTTTGGCAGGTGCAGCTTATTATACCATTAAAGTCTCTCTGGTACTATTTGTTCAGTCTTTCTCTAGTGAGTCCCCTACTACTCTTAACAGGAACAGGTGGTGCATTTGGAAAATTGGTATATACCACAATGAAAAGACAAGGGCTCCATGTAGAGAATATAAAGTAAAGCTTTGCAATACATGGTAAAAGTCAATGGTTCAAGATTGCAAAAGGACCCCAGTGGCATGTTCTTATAAACTCTCATAAATCCAGTCATACAGATGGAAAGCACACCAGCAATCAAGTAGAAATCCAACATAAGTGTAAAAAAAGTGGCCATCATATGAATATTATAAAGGAAAATTTTAGAATTTGTCATCTTGGGTGTTATTGTCATAATTGACCCTTCCTAAGCTTCTTTTGATACCAAAATTTAAAAATGGTTGAAAGGCACATTTCAAGTTTGCCCATTTCAGCAAAGTGTTAGCTAACTAACAAGTTGTGTAAATTAGCTAGCTAAATAGCTACTGTTCTGCTAACATAAGCCTTGAGATGGAACTAGCTACCTATAGGATCTTTATTTGAAAAAAGAATCCTCTGCAACAAAGTTAGTCTTATCCTCTATATGGGGAAATAGCTTTTCAGAAAGATCATTTTTTGGGTCAACCAGCTGGAAGCTAATCACAGTCCTATATGGATACTGGAAGAGAAATCTTACAGTTCTCTCTTAATTGTATGTTCACCTCTCCTTATGATTGGGAATCCCACCAATCATATTGTTTCTCACACAATAAAAATTTGGTCCCAATTTAGGAAATATTTCTGATTACAGAAAGCATCAATCTTAAGTCCCATCGCCTCTAATCCCGCCTTTACTCCTTCAGCTTTTCAACTGAGGCACAGAAATTCTATCAGAAGCATCAATTACTTTTACTTAACTTAACTTATGACTTTTTCTAACAACATATTTCAGTTCCTCATATTAGACATTTTACTCTGAAATGTTTCTGCTCCTGGTTCTGTTTCTGTTCCTGAGAACTGTAACAGATACACTCAACACTATATGCATTAAAAATTATTTTGTTTTGTGATATTGGTATCATCATATCAATTCTCAAAAACACTGTATTG